AAAAAAAAGCAACAAAAAAACTCTACGCAATCGAAAAGAACAGTTAGATTTTAAAGAAATTCCAGGGAATAAAGTCGCACTTGAGTTTATATCTTTCATTACCGAAAATGTTTGAGAAGTGCGTAGTTGTTACACATTTAAGTATATAATAGAATTAACTCACTTGGATGCGATTTTTTCGCGATTTATTTGTTATAAAAGGCTAGAATGATTATTAAATAAAATTATTTAATAGATCCTGTACTTATTTACGTTTCATCTTTTCATTTGATTTCATGTTATTTTATGTATCTTCATTTGCAGTTGGTACCGTTACATCGACGCCACAACAAAAACCAGAATTACAGATTACGGAAAACACAAGCACCGTTAGAAATTCCGCATCAATTTGTTTAATACCCGCCCTCAAAAGCAATTTAAAATTACCTGATTCGATACATTCGATCACATCACAACTACCACCGTCTCAAAAAGACTGCGAAGATTCATGTCTATTAGACGTCGAGTCCTCATCATCGATAATTATATCCAAAGCATTAAGTCCAAAGTCCGGGGATCATAAACCAGAAGACGAATCCCTTAAATCAACTTCACCCAAACAGCGTTACATATCGTCATATTTGAACGCTAATAAATCGTTTATTGGAAGTGTAGTTTTAACATCAGCTCAGCGTAAAGAGTACCCAGTGGAAATTGTAACACCTCATTTAGCTGGCGACAATTCTCGTGGCTCGAGCAATAGTAGTGAAGATACTGACTCAGATTCCGATTCAGATGACGGGTCAAAATTGATAGTTGATGAGAAGCCTTTGGTACCCGAAGATCAGCCGCTTTCCTTGCGCGTGCGTAGCAGTCCACCACCTGAAGAGCAAAGACCAAGTCCGCCTCCTCCACCTGAACCAGCTGTAAGGTGCAGTGTTATACAAAGGACGCCTTCTGCAGTGAATTGTATACAAAGACCTCACGAAGTTTTACTGCCGCTAACAAGCTTAGAACATTTAGGACCTGAACAACAGGAACCCATTGACTATCATGTACCACGTAGAAGATCTAGCTTTGATAGCGATGATGAGCAAGTTTTGAACGCGAAACGCTTGGAACGTGAACGAAAATCGAGAGAGGCACGCAGGCGTAGCGCTTTATTGGCGGCAAGAGCCATTTTAGCTCAGGCTCGTTTAAATCCGCGCTCTTTTGTGCGCTCATTACCTGGTATTTTGGCAGCAGCTGCTGGTCACGGTCGTACAACGTCTGGTTCAAACGGCGGCAGTCAAGGTCAGAGTTTTCAAGGCGGCTTTAACGGTAATAGCGGTACAGGTAATGGTCAAGCTCCTAGTGGCGGATCTCCCACCGGTTTCGGTGGTACTAGCGGTTTAGGCGGTGGAACAGGCGGTGGAATGGGTGGCGGTCGTGACGGCCGTGGTAATTACGGCCCAAACTCTCCACCTTCTGGTGCATTGCCACCTTTTTATGAAAGCTTAAAAAGTGGCCAAACAATAAACGGATCTTCTACAACAAATTTCAGCGGGTCTCCCAATACGTCCAGTACATCACCGTCTGCAACTTCAAATTTTTTATTACAAAATGCCGCAGCATACTTGATGTCCGCGACCGGCGGAGGTGGCAGTGGTGGCAGTAGTCAACAATATTCTGGTTCTGGTGGCGATAACGTCGGCGGCAGCAGTGGTTGCGGTGTTGATAATTCTAACGTTTTTGCTGCTTTTGCCAACGGACATACAAATAGCACTTCATATAACCCCCTAGCGTATTCAACTAAATATAATAATCATCATCCTTCTTCGTTTCCCTGCTCGCCATCAACACAACATTTAGCTCACCACTTACCATATGGTGGTAATCCTTCAGCTTACGGTATTGTACTCAAAGACGAACCAGATATTGAATACGATGAAGCGAAAATCGATATTGGGGCCTTCGCTCAAAATATCATCCAGGCGACAATGGGAAATTCGGGAAATTTTAATGCGTCTGCATATGAAGATGCCATCATGTCTGATTTAGCTTCGGTGGCACAAGGTTCTAATGGCGCCGTAGATCCTTTGCAATTTACTGCCACTCTGATGCTATCTTCTCAAACGGACCATTTGCTTGAGCAGTTGTCTGATGCGGTAGACTTGAGCTCCTTTTTGCAACGGAACTGTGTAGATGATGAAAATTCCACCAGCCCTAGACAAGAATTCGAACTAGTGTCCACACCGTCTCTTACTCCTGATTCAATTTCAATTACTCCGGTCGATTGTCACAATCAGGCTGGCACGCAAATCGACAGTTTCCATGAGAACCTTATGCAGCAATTGACCCATAATATGACCCGATCACAGTTGCAACAGCAACAACAACAGCAACAGCAGCAACAACAGCAAGCTAATTCTAGCTATGGATCATTCGAGAGGGAAGCACAGCATAACGGTGGTAGTATTCATCACACAACACAACAGCAGCAACAGCAACAGCAGCAGCAACAACAACCGCAACAGCAACAGCAACCTCCACCATCTTATCAACATGCTACGCGTGATTTAATGCAAATACAGCATCACCAACAGCAGCAGCAGCAGCAGCAGCAGCAGCAACACCAACAACAACAGCAACAACATGCGAATAATTCCTACCATCAACAACAACAAACGATGAATCCTATAATAACTCACGCCTCTCTCCTACTGAACCAAACTCAACAACAGCAACAACATAATCAACAAAGCAACGGTTATCATCATGCTTCGTCTTTACATGGCTCATATAATGGTGGACAGCAAAGCCATCATCATAATCAGCATCATCATGCGCATGCTAATCAACTTCATCATTATCACCTTAATACCGCAACAGGGGGACAACAACAGCATCATGGCAATCAACATAATCATCAGAATGCAAGTCATCCAAATCATCATCACAGTGATAATAGTAATTTGTCACTGCCTTCGCCTAATGGGGCAACTGGCGGTCATATAATGGTGGCTGGCCACCATCCTATGTCTTCCGCGGCTAGTAATTCATCGGGTACATCAAATTCTGGTCTATTGGATTCATCATTGCTCGATGCAAAGCCAATCATTCAAAGCGTAAGTCCTACACACTCCTCACACTCTTCTACGGACGGTTATTCAATTGCCAGCTCTCGCACAAGTTCGCGTAAACAGAACTCTAGCTCAGCTGCCTCAATGGCTGCTGTTGTGGCATCCTCTTTAACCCTACCGACGTCGCCCACTATTGCAATGTTGCATGAAAGCAAAGCGCTTCAGCAACGGGTAAGCATACAAGCACAATCGGCATTGTTGTTGTCTCTTCGTCTTTCTTTTTTTTTTTTTTTGCATTGTCTTTGCATTTAATATTGTTTGTAATAGAGTGTGTGCGTCAGTGTGTATCTTCGTATATGAATTTTATGTTTGTGTTTTGTAAACTGAATAAATAACAAATAATCGTGTAAGATGGGACAGAGCACTGATACTTCCACTAAGATTAACACATACGAAGATGATCTTATGAAGATACATAATGAAGATAATTTTATGCATGGCTTTGCGGTTAAGTCTTACAAACACTTTACTCATTAAGTGAAAGATATTACGATATCATCCACTACAGGAGAGATTATTGTATAGGTCAACGTCTCAGATTCTCAGTCAATTTAGTCAGTGAATGTCGCAAAGTTTCAAAAAGTTGAAAATGAAAACTAAATCTTATATTTTTACTCTGGTTTCGTAATTTAATTTTAAAATCTAGGAAAACCCCGAAAAATTTCATAACTGTTATATTATACCAATACATATGGGAGCACTCTTAAAATTTCGCGCAAAAATGACGGCGAATGATTAACCGATTAACCGATGCGTTCAGTATTATCGATAAACAGTACGATGTCTATAAGTTGGCTTGATGCGCCCTAAGACAAACTGAAATTTATTTACCTTTATTTGTTTAATGTAGAAAGTTTTCTGTTCAAGGTTCAGACAACTCGCACTGAATAGTCCAAAATGAAGTTTTTTTTTTTTTTTCCGTATTCACTTCGTGAATATGACCACATTATATCCATTGACATATAAATTTTTTATAAACTCTCTTAAAGTCTTAAATTGAGTTGCCGAAGGTCCCGCAGAGTGATGCAGTTACAATCAACAAGGAACTACGATATTTGCATACAGATTTTTTGGCGAGGTTTCAAGTTCTGTGCCTCATCGCAATTAGTTCATTCCTATTTCATCTATCGTCAAACTAGATCTATTTCTAAATCGATTCATTTGATATAATTGACATAAGTAGTTTCGAAATTCCAATACGACGTTCTTTCTCTGAGAATAAGAATGACTACTGACTAACTAAATGAATTTGACTTTTCAAACCCATTCACTATCACTTCGTAGTGTTTACCAATTTATTTATTTATTTTTTTTTTTGTTTTTTCTTTCGATAGACCAACTCGCCCATAAAGTAGTAAACAGCTATTTACCATTTTTCAGTGCTTGCCGGCAGCAGTGGTGACATAACAAAATACTACTAAACTCATAGCAGTTAACTATGAAGCTTTCTGTTCAAGCAAATACTAGAGCATATGCTTTTTGAGTAGTTTCGATTGTGTCAGTTATATCCATTTGTAAATCTCTTTTTCTGAAGGCGCATAATTAAGGAAAAATTGCGATATTTATGTATGGCAGTCTCTTGGCGGGTATCCCAAATTTTGTTTCGAATGATTTGCGGCAGCAATTAATAGTTTAGGAGTAATTTCCTTTACAATGCAATATATGACCAACTTATTGTAGAAAAGCTTTCCCATAAACAATCTTCATTATGGTATTGATTTAAGATCTGATATTTTGAAAAGTGATTTTAATATTATCCAGTAACAACCAAAATTGTAAAATAATATAATATAATTAGTGTAAACGATCAGTGTTCAAGGATTGCCCTAACACGAACAGAGTTCAAAAAAAAAAAAAAAAAAAAAAGAAGCAAAATATCTTCTTATGCATTTCATTGACTTTACACATTTCAGTTGGGTTTACCGCCCGAAGTGCAACTCGAATTTGTTAACGGCGGCCATGGCATCAAAAATCCTTTAGCCGTAGAAAATACTCATGGACATCATCGTATACGTAGCATTGATTGCATAGATGATTTGAAAAAGAGCACCAGTGGCGGAAGCAGTAGTAGCGATGGTAACGTTGAAAACAGTAATAGCAGCAATGGTAACAATAATGACGGCGCCAAGTTTGTCTGCCGCGTTTGCTTGAAAGCATTCTCCTTGCAACGCTTACTTAATCGCCATATGAAATGTCATTCTGAAATTAAACGCTACTTATGCACATTTTGCGGTAAAGGTTTTAATGATACGTTCGATTTGAAACGTCATACCCGTACACATACCGGGGTTCGACCATACAAATGTAATTTATGCGAGAAGAGTTTCACGCAGAGATGCTCGTTAGAATCGCACTGCTTAAAAGTCCATAGCGTACAACATCAATATGCGTATAAGGAGCGGAGAACTAAGGTGGGTTCTTGACATATTACAGTAAACGAAATTTATATATGTATGTATAAGTATATTGGTTTTCTCTGTTTTATAAAATTTTCATCTAATTTCGAATATTCGATTTGAATAGATGTACGTTTGCGAGGAATGCGGTCATACAACCTGTGAACCTGAAGTTCATTATTTGCATCTTAAAGAGAATCATCCATACTCACCGGCATTGCTTAAATTTTACGATAAACGTCATTTCAAATTTACCAACTCACAATTTGCCAATAACTTACTGGGACAACTGCCGATGCCAGTTCATAATTAACTCGTGAGCATCGAAGCATCTTGATCTCCTCAGATGCTTATAAAGAAAACTGCCTTAAAACGAAAAAAAGATTTAGAGATTATTTTTAGAAAAACTTTTTATTTTCTTCTCTGTATAACGAAAGGAGTAAATAGTGTTTTTTATTTTTATACCTTTTTTTCCTTTTTTTTTCCTTTTTTTTTTTCTTAATATAGGTCAAGAACAATTTTTGCTAAGCAAATTTTTTAAAAAAGAATTTAAACTTACATGGAAGTTTGAAGTTAAGAAAAGAACAAAAAAGTCAACTATGCGTCCTTTTTTCTTTTTTTTTTTTTTTTTTCTCTTAAGATCACATAATTTTTCTTTTATTTAATGAAGTCATTTTAAAGTTCTTTAGTTGATTTATGAGTTTAAAAATGTTCTATAAGTTTTGTTTAATTTTTTTTTTTTTTTTTTTTTTTCAAAAATTTTGAAAAATTTTTTTAGTGAAACCAATTTTTGTGTATATTATACGATGCGCTACTGTATAAAGAATTTATTATTTAGAGTATATTTCTCCTTTTTATTAGTTATATATATTTTGCATATAAGTACGTAAGAAAAAGAAAAAAAAAAAAAATAATCGCATACATGCATACATCAATTTAAGAAAAAAAATTTTTGAATTTTGAAACTGTGTTCTTTTTTTCGAAAAATGTATTTAGATTTTGTTAAGAATTCAATGAAAAGAATTTTTCTCTTTTTCGCTCTCTCTCTCTCTCTCTCTCTTTCTCTCTCTCTGTCTCTGTCTTTTTCTTTTTTTCTTTCTTTCTTTACCTATCTAGTACATAGAAGGGTAAGAACATTGTTTTGTTTTTTTGGTTAAGAGCTTGTTGCCTTATCTTTTTTATGGAATTAAGCTGAAATATTTAAAAAAAATCACATATATATAAAAAGAAATATATATACATATATATATATGGGTATATATATATATATATATATATCTGGGTATATAGAGATCAAGACAAAAGGAAACATTTATCATTACCGTCTATATTTTAATTCGAATATATTTTCATTTTGAAATATAATTAGAACTTTTTCGGTTCATAAATATATTTTAAGCGTTTAATTAATTTCTTATATATTCCACAAACTTAAAAATCCATACATACGATACAGTTATATATACATGCATACATATTATGTGTTTGGTATGTAATATCATCGATAAAGTACTGATTATTATTATTATTATAATTATTATTATTATTATTATTATTATTATTATTATTATTTGCGAATTATTTCTCATTGACGTTTAGTTGAGGCGAAATTTTTGTTTGCGAAACGATTAATATGTGTTGGATCTTTACTCTAAAGAGTTAGATCAAGGGCATATATCTTTTACTGCTTGTTTTTTATATATATTTTTATTTTTATTTTCTTATTCTTTTTTTTTTTATTTTCTTTCAAATATAGTTTGTAGTTACTAATAGATCAGAATTATACGATTTTTGTGTAATTTAATCGGGTTCATTGTGCAATCAGCGGTGATGGTGTTTAGATTTTAACAACATTAGGCATTTAAGTTTATTTATAATCCTAATATAAAGATACTCTTGTCATATATACGCACACACATACATACACATACACGCTTACCCACACAAATTTACTCAGTTCACTTGCTTTTTTCCATTCTTACCTCTCCCATATATAATATACGCGTTCAGCCTCGTGAATAATTTTGAAATTGACCCAAAAAAAAAAAAAAGAAGAAAAAAAAAACCCAACGGGAAAAAGAAATGTTCGTACATTAGGCGAAAGTACGCCTTGGTTGCTTTCGCGTAATTTCATTTCAAAACTTACTACATGTACGGGCTAAGAACAAAATTGTTTACATTCAATTATGGCGGCTCTGCAATCCCAGACCTTTTCCCACTTGTACTTCAGACAAGTTTCGTAAATTGAAACCAAGAATTCATCATAATTGCATTTATCGTAAATTTATAACTTTTTTATGTTACAGGAAAAGTGCTTTATTTCCATCTTAATCGGGTTCTTCTCATTACGCATGCATGCACGATTTGCTTCGCAGCACTTCCTTTATAGGGCGCCCCCCTTCTCGTTTTATTGTTACGATTACTGATAATAGGAAAAGCATAAAAATTCATTCCACCATCCATCTATCGACAATTTAATGCATATCACTTTCATTTTCATAGAGATTAATCCAATATTATTCGACAACAACAACCCATACAAACCCTTATTCCTATATTCCTAGTTGCGTATACGTGGACTACAGCGTTCTAGTCCACGTGCATCTGTTTGTTTCGATCATATTCAATCCGATTCTTATTGAAGTTTAAGGCTGATGCTAAAACAGTCTCGTCTCTAATTGCCCTATGATTATTTATTGTGCTCCACAACACTTTTTGTTTCTTTTTTTGTTGTGACCAATCACTCCGAAGATGTTCCATTATCGATCAGAAAGAAGTAAGTGTGTTATGCCTTTGTCAACCTTGTGATACAAGAGTATATTAAGTTTGTGTGGACGCATCCAACATCTAGAAGACGTGGACTTGACATAGACTCTCCTTGTATTATATCGATCGGTTTAGAGTCTAAGTTTTTGCATTTATCTAAGTCTGTCTATCCGTCCGATTGTTTGTCTGATGCTTGCCTTACTTACAATTTTCAAAATATATTAACGAGATTTTTTACACTAATATGCTTTGATCCAAGCGCGGACCTTATTAAAAATGATACGGATCAAAGCATTTTTTCAATCAGTTTCCCCGGAAAAGTCGTATTATTAGGATGTTTAGTGGTACGCCTTGTCCCCTTATAATGTTGTTACTTAATTTTAATTAAAATTTTTAGCAGCAAGAAGAGAAGAAACTAAACGTTTCACGAAACATTTCAATTTTTGTAATACTTAATCAATTAATGTTTTTCGATTTTCATTTTATGAATTACAACTTGGAAATACGTTTTGTTAAAAAGTAAGTACGTTTTTTTTTTTTGCACGGTAGAATTCAAATGCATCGCGAGTGTTATCTCTTTCAAAGGAAACATAATTAAGAAATTTGCAATCGCTTTGACATAAACATTCGATACGTTTCAATAGGCGAAAATTACAAAGTTTATTGTAAATTGGGGGCGTAACACTAGCAGTCAGTCCCATACTTGCACTGGGCCTTTTTTCATATTATATCGTGGATAATATTTATACCAAACTTTATACCCTACACGACTTGTGACACAGGATACAGCATTAAGTTTGGGCGACCCAGTATGTAATACGCAGAAGAACTTAAGATGCATCCACTTTTTATTACACCAATCAATTCAGAATCATTTCTTCGAATCATTGCCTCGGTTTAAGCCTGTCTACATGGTAATTGCCCATATATCTTTGTGTTCAACTTATAGGTCACAACTTTTAAGTTATTTTAACGAAATTCACATGGCGCGATAGTTTGCATCCGTAACTTCTCATATAGCATCTGAATGAAGAAAGAAAGAAATTATACTTGCTAATGCTTCTCGAGAAAAATCGATAGCAAATAGGAGTTTGCCATATAAAACAAACGAAGAATATATGCACCGGGTAAGGCAATCTTTTTGAACCGTCTTTCATATAATCATTCCCGTGAAGAGTTGACCTTTACATGGCATAAAGTTCATATAAATATTAACTCTATCGAATGTAGATCGCGTAGGTTTATTTTTTTTTTTTTTGGATGAAGAATTAAAAAATCTCTGGCAAACATATTTATTTTATTGAATTTGGACCACGACAATTTACGTTTTTCAAGGCCTTCTCCGTTATAAAGCCTCTCACGAAAGCTATTGCGTTACATGAAAACCAGGAATGATTTTTGGTATTTCATTATGAAAATAAATAAACCGTTTGATAATTTGGTAATATGGTGTAGAGTACAAAATGATCGCCGTCGCTCGGCTATAAAGTTTTTCCTTGTTAGAACGATTTTTGTTACAGGCCCTACCACTAGGCATTTAAGTATAATGTCAGATTTGTTGCAAGTTCTAGTTTTTCGTGCATTATGCGACTCAACATGTATTCTTGCCATTGCTCTACAGCCATCTCTCTTAAAAGCAAGTAAAAATATATGTAAAACGTGTCGCAAAATTATTGCAATTATTTGATTAAATAGAAAACAATATTTATATATGTTACATATGTTATGTAACATATAAACTTTCGCTTATATGAACTTTAAAAGAACGGACTTACAAGCATCAAGGTTTTCTACATACACTATCAGCGCAAACCAGATATAATATTATACGCAAACATTAAATCATTTCAATTTGTCTTTCATATCATTTTGGCGGGGCAAAAAATTGAAGAAAGTATTATCTGTTAGGTTTAAAGTGCTGCTCTAAGACTTAATTATTCACATCTAGGTAATTAAATATGAGAAAAGAATGGTTTTGTCATATCCAGCAATACTTCCACAAACATAAACACGACTATATCCGTTTTCAGGTAGCCTATCACGTTGTTTCCTAACACAGGTGCCAATTTCTCAGTAAGTGTGTGAATGGAAAAAGAGAACAGACATCTGGTTTTTCCTATCAAAGAAATTCTGACCATTTTGTGCACAGGTACATGTGACATTCGTTTTAAAATATGTACAACTTTCTTTATGGGTAAGATTACGATTGGATGTAGCCATGTTCGCCTTTCCGCCGCATTTGCTTTATTGCTTCGTATCTTTCATGGTTTCTACAATCGAATTGGAAATTTGCATTTGCTTTTATTTTAGCTTCTTAGGTCCTGCTACATCACCGTAATCCTAACGGTAAGCGTAATGGTGAAGCATAAAAGTGAAGTTGCATTCAACGTGGACCGTCTTCTTTTATGCGCAATAATTTATAAAGTTGCGTATAGGAAAGTTATGCTCTTTGTAATTATACGCGCTGTGGACTCATTACATCTTACTAAAGATTAGAAAGAATTTCATTTGAAATTGAAAATGAAACAGGAACGTTATTCTTAACCTTTTCGTCGATTTACTTGGTTTTTTATACTGGTTTGAAAACAAATATATATATATATATATATATATATTTAAGATTGAATTTTTGGAGGTTTTTTTGCTGTGTGATTGTGTAGGCACGGATTAACAAACGATTTTAATTCGTAATGCAGACCAGAAACAAACTGAGTTTAACTTTCTTCTTTTCTTTGTATTCCAAATATCATGACGTAGCTTGACATAACTATACAAGTTTCGGTGTTTATGTTGTTAGTCAAGAATATATATGAGATTTCCCTTATGTAGTTGTGATTTGTCAAACATGTAACAATCGCTTGCTCTAAGTTGGCTAAAATATTCTCAATAACATGCATGAGAAGATGTCGATGTTAAAGTCGCGCGTGCGCCTCTTCAACTATGATAATCTTTGTTAGATCGGTGGGAGATGGGGGATAAGCGTATGTCACAAGTAGCA